CTAACAAACTCAAGAGGTCATTTGATTATTTTATCTGTATATTTTTCCTCTGATTATAGAGATTTTTCTAAGTAAATTCAGTGTTTTGGGACTTATTTTTGATATAAATTTCAGTATAGAAGCTTATATCCTATTCTAATCAGATCCCATGATAAAATTCTGATATAAAACCTCTTGCAAAAAAAAAAAAGGTGAGTTATATGATGGAGAAAACATAGCAAGCGCTTCCTGAGCATCCTGTTCAGCAGTTTGCAATTAACTTTAGAAGCCAGAATCCATAAAATGTGCAAAATTAGAATAGACTTGACTGTAATACATAAGAAAGTTTTCCTTTCTGAACTACTGATTATATAATTTAAATGTAAACTAGTTTATTAGGTATTTCATATTAAAAAAATCTTCTCCACACATATAAAATGTTCCCAAATGTTGTTAAGGAAAGACAGCTGTACACATTTGTATATTTAGCTGAAACAGCTTTGGGAAAGGGGGAATTTTAGTGAGTGCTCCTGTTGCAGAATTCTGCTTGCTATTTTGGATGCATAAATAAGCTTCAGCCTTATTAAGTTGGTAGGCCTGAATGAGATAACATCATCTTAGTTGTGAGTTAAATTTGATTTGAAAACAGTGAGAGAGCATAGGATGGGGCATTGTGTTACTGATTACATGTAAATAGTAATATACAGGCTATTTTTTACAGACATTTTGTCAGTAATTATTCTTAAGTTAAACCGATCCAAATATTTTGTATTTAACTTATTTTTATATTGACCTTATGTCGATTCATAGTAAGCTACCTACTGAATAATTTAGGCTGTTTTTAGTTTGACAGCAGTCTCACTGAAAAAAAGTTATTGCTGTGAGGATTACTGTGTCACCAATTTACAGATGCATGTATTATTGCAAGCAAACTTCCACAGGTTATTAATACCAGCACTAGAAAAAGTGCTTTGTGGACTTTTTCTCTCAAAATTATTTAGTTGATACATCATCCCCTTGCTAAGTTGAAGATGATGTAAATAATCATACATTTAGGGGCATCTGAGTTTTGTCCTTGAAGTTCATTCTCAGCTGCAGCTTTTTGTAAGGCTGAAACCTCTGAATTAGTTGCAGCCTTTCAAAATGCACATCATTCACTAGAGGATCAAGCCGTCAATGCTTGAACCAAACAGATACATTCAAAGACAGCACCTCTTGTCTCTATCACGTACAGGTTTTAGAAATAATTATAAAAGAATGTGAATTCCCCTTTCACATCTGCTTTGGTTCATCTAACAGATGTTACCAATAGGCCACACAAAATCTTTGCATGTATCACCTGCTGGGGAGGTGTGCACACTGGTGAATTGTGCACTGTAATTTCTCCTTACTATGTAGAGTTGTTTTGACAGACTGACTCTTTATCTTAATACTTTTATGGAAACGGCAGAAATGGTGGTTTTTATTTGCAAACAGTGAACTAAATGATGGTTGTATGCTCAGCCCCTGAAAGCAAGATACTGTGAGTGCCTGGAAATAAGGTTATGCAAACCTACCAACTGCAGCCCTGACATGGTCCAGTCCTTTTATGTGTTTTGTTCAGATCACTTTTCAGAGCTCTTTTTTACACTATTCTGGAACATCCATCTGTTGGCAGTCAATTGAAGACCCTGGTGACTTGAAAAAGTAAAACATTATATTTGTCTTTAAAAAGGATAGAAAGGAGGACCCTTGGAACTACCAATCTGTCAGCCTCACCGCTGTGCCTGGGAAGTTCATGGAACACATTTTCCTCTAAGCTAAGCTAAGGCACATGAAGAACAGGGAGGTGATTCAAGACAGTCAGCATGGCTGCACCAAGGGCAAATCCCACCTGACCAAACAAGTGGCCTTCTGTGATGTAGTGGCTACAGCAGTGGTCAATGGAAGAGCCATGGGTGTATTATTTATGGACTTTTGTAAGACTTTTGACACAGTCACCACCAATATCCTTCTTCTGGAGAGATGGATTTGATGGGTGGACTGTTTGGAGGATGAGGAATTGGTTGGATTGCATCCAGATAGTAGTGGTCAGTAGCTCAAAGTACAGGTGGAGATAGGTGATACAAGTGGTATCACTATGGGGTCCATATTGAGACCAGCACTGTTTAATATCTTCATTAATGACAGAGACAAAGGGTTTGAGTGCACTCTCAATGAGTGTTCAGACAACACCAAGCTGAGTGGTGCAGTTGACATGCCTGAAGGAAGGGATGCCATCCAGAGGGACCTGGACAAGCTTGAGAAATGGACCCTTGGGAACCTTCTGACACTCAACAAGGCCAAGTGCAGGGTCCTGCACCAGGGCTAGGGCAACCCCCAGTGTCAGTACAGGCGTGGGGAGGAAGGGATTGAGAGCATCCCTGCAGAGAAAGACATGGGGATGCTGATGGATGAAAAGCTTGACATGAGACAGCAATGTACACTTGCAGCTCAGAAGGTCAATCATATCCTCAGCTGCATCAAAAGCATCATGGGAGGAGATTTTATCCTCTAATCCATTCTTGTGAGATCCCATCTGAAGTACTGCATCCACTTCTGGGGTCCTTGGCAGAAAACAGACATGGGCCTGTTGGAGTGGGTCCCAAGGAGTGCTAAAAAAGTGATCCAGAGGGATGCAACGCCCTTGCTATGAGGAAAGGCTAAGAGATTTCAAGGTCAGATTAAACAAGCCACTCTAGCTGAAGATGTCCCTTCTAATTGCAGTGAGGTTTGGGCAAAGATCACTTTTAAAGATTCCTCCCAACCCAAATTATAGTACAATTCTGTGGAAATCACATAAAATTACATACACACAGGAATTTAGTAGCAGATCTGTTTGTGTCTTGAAAACCTTAGAATACTGGAAAGAATTAATGTGCCATCATGATATGGAAAACTGTCCTTTTAATTTAATTTTTGGTGTTTTGTATTTGAACCAAACAAGGCAGATAATGCAGCGAGGTTTCTGAAAATTATTATTTGATCCTTTCCATGTAATTCCTTTAGCTTTTACAATTGAAAGCCAGTTCTGTTTTGTAGCTAGACTGTTCAAGCAATCTCTCCACTTTTTTTTTTTTTTTTTAAGTTATATTCTCTGAACAGAATTCTTTAAAATGGTGTGGGCTGTAGCAAATGCAGAACTTCATCCTTAATGATTTTCTTCTTTCGCAGAAAATACATTGAAGCCGTAGTATTTCTATTCTATTATTTGATGTCTTAGCAACTTAAATGTATCTTAATCATTATAATGGTTTGGAGATAGAGGTGTTATTGCTAATTTTGATGCTTCTCACGTTTCTTTTTGAAACATGGCAATGGGTAACTTGGTCATCTCCTTAACTTCAGATGCAGTACTGAGGAAAGGTTTTTCACAAGCCATTTTTCAAAAAAGTTCATAGAGAATGGAGTGAGGAAGGTAGCTGGCTGGAACAGAGATGAGAAAGATCCTCTCCTTCCCTGTCCAGCTGCTTCTCTTTGGATAGGAGTAGCAACTGTGGGAACTACTGGCAGTGGAACAGAGGGATGTGTCTCACAGTTTCAGCAATATGATCTAAACTTATCATATTCTAATTGCAAATAGATCTGACATAAATAATTATTAAGCTTCATTTTGTTGCTTTTCATCTAAATCCCTAAATCCATTTAGTAAGTTGTGATTAATTTTCATAGTTTCCCATAGTCAATAATTTAAAAGAAACTTTATACATGTAATAGACAGGATCGTGCTTTAAGACTACTTATGAGTCATAAAAAGGCTACCTAGCAGGGCTACTTATAAGCCTTAGCAAGAGTAAAAATTTTATTTAGCAACTTTCCAAGAATACTGTGGGAAAAACATCATGATTTAAACACATCTTTCCACATGCATCTTTGCTCTTGAGAGGAACCTCTTATTCCTCGTCATCAGTGAGATGATAAAAGTTGTGACCAGTCTTTCTTAAGTTTCTAGAAACAAAAAATGATTTTTAGCACTGGAAGTCAGTAAAGTAAATGTCAATAAAAAAAATGTATGAGAAGAAGCTGCCCTGGACCTCACTCTAACCTCAGTTGCAATACCACATTACACAACTTTTATGTAACTCCTGGCTGTATTCTCTAATAAAAATTATCCTCCGGGCTTTATTTTAATTTTATAAGCTGTGCATGTGTATAATACACAATGTACTTTTATTCATATGCCAAAGATCTGCAGCCAAATCATTTACTATCAGCATAAGACTATTTTAATAATTTAATCTCCTAATCTCTTATAGTATTTTCTCCTGCACAAACTCTCATTGTATGTCTTGCCAACTTTGTAGTTGTCTGGGAATTGCTATGCACGCAACCTGATTTCTACATAAAAATGCAATTTCTTTTTAAAAATAGTTACTTCTTTGTAAAATAGTTGCTTCTTTAATAGTAGAAGTGTAATGGAAAGAAATAAAGTTAATTTGCCATTTTTAAGAGAAAATTTGTCATTTTTCTGTTCTGCTCGAGTTTTTTGAAAGTAGGGTGGAGATGAGCATTATTACAATAAAAGATTTTACGTCATTAAGATTTACCAATTTAATCAGGCATATACAATCTAGTTTATCCAGGTTATCAGATCTCTTTCCTATAATCTCTTATTTTTCACTAAGCAACGTGGGAGCTTGAGGACTGAGGCGTTTCACATCCACGTGTCTTTGACAGCCTGAAAGAGAAGGACATATGCACTAGAATTACCAGCAACCTCAGTGAGGTTTTTTCCCTTTAGCCTGTGTGTCTCCACTCATGACTTCCTACATAAACTAAGGTTTTCTGGTAGGATACATCAGTTATTAGGAAAATAAATTTAAAGCAATTTGAAAAAGACCCGTTAAGGATCTTGGAACAATTAAATATGGAAGAGCATTTCAAAGGTATTTCTCATTTTGTATGCTACCAATGTTGATTTATTGATCACTGTTGTTGTGATATGTTATTATATTTTGAATTATTCTTTACTATAGCTTTTTTTTTTTTTTCCTTTACTGCAGGTTTAAGATTTTTAAGAGCCCTTAGACTGATACAGTTTTCAGAAATTTTGCAGTTTCTGAATATACTTAAAACAAGGTAAGACTTTTTCTTACATACTGAGTTAATTGCATTGGTAACAGACCATAAGTGGCTTAAATTTGGGATCGTAGTAATATATGATTTTCTGTCCTGGAAAAAAAAATAGTTGTTATCTGTTCTTTAAACTTTTTTGTGCCAATGAATGATTTATGAGTGAAAGCATCTTTTGCTATGCGATCAGTAGATTTTGATGTGTTGTTAAATTTGAAATATCAAACAAGGTTTAGTTTTGATAAATTAGAAACAGAATGAATCACATAGCTTTGCACTGATTAAACATTGCTGCTTTCCATATAAGCAGTCCATGTTCTGCTGTCCTGGAAAAACAGAAATCAAAATTAATTCAAAAGAATAGAGTTAAAAAGTATATTGAGAATCATCATTGTGACTCTCCTTCAGTTTTTGCGAGCATCCTTTTTCACATCAAAAACATATTAAAAATTGCACTGAGCTTTCTTTATATTGTATTCATTGTCCTTAGTATTTCTTTCATATAATAGTTGAAATAGTCCAGTTAACCTTCTGGTTTACTGGTTCTTTGGCCTATTAATACATGAAAGTTGTACAGAAGAATCACAGTTTTAGACAAAAGATCACTTTGAAGGAAATAAAAAGAAACATTCCCATGCCTTGCAATTGAAGACGTGTTACTTTTCATCATTTTCTAAAATGCCCCAGGGGAAATATTGAACCCAGCTTCCAATAATTACTCTAAACTCAGTTCCATCCTGAAATCCTTTTCTCTCTGCACCAGTTGATATTGATGTGTGAGGGGTTTATATGCAGGTAACTCCATGTCTTGCTATTATAATTAATGGCGGTGGTTAAGTAAGTTCTGAGCTTTGTACCTAGTCATGGTAAACAACTGTTTCTTCAACCCTTAACCTTGAAACTAATCTCTTTGCTGCAAAACTCTCACATTATCTGTCTGTAGCTGTGTTACTGTAAGGAATCCACTTCTTGTCAAATACAGACATCAAAGAATGTGTAGTGAAGTCTCATAGTTAGAATACCACTGGGATCGTAAAGGAGAACGATTTGTGCAGGAGCTCAGAATATGCATTGAGTTTACATTTAACACACAAAGCAACCTTGCCATAAGAAATGCCAGTGAACAGAGAAGCCCCATAAACTCAGAGGACTTTGGATAAAAGCTAATAACCCCTTCAGCAGTTGGGGATTTGTGAAATTCCAGATCTGTAAATGAAGGGATGCTGCATTAATCGCATTCAGTGTATTCAGAGCTGGTTTATTCAAGATTGACCTGTTCATTGAAATAACATTTTTCTGGTGCAAAATTTACTCTCCTATTAGACACAGATGTCATATTCTCTGTAATTATTTATGTGACTGTCCAAATACCTGTAAAACTCAAAAATTGATTATTGAAAGACTGTAAAGGAAGGTTTTCTTGCATGAGTGTTTTAGTTCAGTCAACTAATTAATTCTTAGCAGTTCATCATTAGCACCATTTATTTAGCTTAAAAACTGTCATTTCCTCAAAACGGTTTTTTATTTTTCCTGGTTCTGCAGTAGAAAGTACTGTCTGTTCTCTTCTGTATTTTAGTTAATAACCTGAAATTAATTAAATAAAATGGAATGCTATTCATGTTCACAAAACATATTTTTGTAAAATCATTTATTTTAGAAAACTTTGTATTTACATCTGAAAAAAGGCATGCCGAGCCCTTGTGGTTGATGGAGAATCTTTAGTAATTTTGCAAGAGTTAGGGCAGTTAAACTAGTAGTCTTTAGAAATCTAATTTTACTTAAATAAAATTTACTTCCCTAAGTTCAAGCAGTGTTTCAATTATGTACCATGGCCTTAAACCATTATTATTAATTTAAAATCTTATACTCTATTGTATGCTTTAGCCCTGCGACATTGTTTTGTTCAAGGATGGTTAAAAAACTTTGAGAATTAAAACACTGTAGCATTTTTTGCAATCCACTTTTAAGGTTTTAATGTCATTTCAATATTGTAGTTTGTTTGTGAACATAAAGACCAAGGATTAATGAAAGAATTTGAATTGATGAACTGGAATAGCAAATTCAGTATATCATTACTAGCTCTGAAGTTACAGTATAGGGAAAAAACCCCGCTTTTTATATTTTTTGCAAAGTATAGTAGTTCTCTTTTTGAGTTGATATGTATTTATATGAAAAAATATGGTACTAATTCAACTACAGGCGTTTTAATGTATTTGGCATTAATAACAAGTAACTGCTAACAAGATGAGAAACTGATAGGGTATAATGGGCACTTCTGTGTTTTTAATATTTAGTGCAATTCGAGAAGAAATTCTCTCCTCCTTTTCCTCTTTTCCCCAGTACAGAAAAACCTTTATTCTAACCTATAAATTAAAATTAATGCTAGACTTAGTGACTGAGATATGCGGATTAAAGGAACATGTATTATTTATACAATGAGCATAAAGGCCAAAAACTGGAATCCAAGGGAATAAGCTAAACAATGCAGAAATTGAGGCAGTAAGGAGACTAGCGAAGTATTAGGTAATGATTAGAGTATCTGAAAAGTTGCTAAACGTGTTTGAAAAAATCCAGTAAGACAAAACAAAATTTTACAGGGTTGTATTAGAACACCATACTCTGCTAAGGACTTGTTTGTTTCCTTAATTGGAAATAAAATGTTGTTTACTCAAAATTTTTTGTTCTCATGTTTGACGAAATTGATTTGTGCAATTTTCAGTTGAAAATTTCTCTCCTTCATTGTTTTCTAGTATTATTTTTCAACAAAACTACAGAGGCTTAGGCAGGGCTCACAGTAAGGGATTTTGCACAGATGTTGGAAAGAGCTTAAAGAGGGGGAAAATGTTTGTGACTAATCCTTCATCTATATTTAGACTCTGGCGGAAGCACAGGGAGTATTTCATAGAGGAGAGACAAGGTACAGTGTTTAATAAATCTGCAGAAATAAATGTACCAAACAAATAATGTAGTTATTAGTGGGTGCTGTCATTTATTTTTATTGCAATAACATGTGGACTGACACATTATTTTATTAGGAACATCTCCTTTTCTAAGTTCAGGTGAAGGATGGTCTTTGGCCTTTCATAATGGAGCTTTGCATTAGCATGACTCCTATGATTTTACTTAATCTACAAAGCTTTTGGTTTGGGTCCTGTGCTGTAACTGAATGTTAACACCAACAAAATAGGGACTTTAATCAACCATACCTTGAGAAAGAGAGAGACAAGTAACATGTGTTGATGTAGGTGAGCACTGATTAATGGCAGGATAGCTGGTATATTACTTTATTTTTGAGCATAATATTTATTACCACATTTATCATATTAACCAGTTATATTCTTTTCCATGTGCCTCAAGATGCCCACTTCACTAACTGTAACTCTTAAAATTATTTTTAATGAAGTTGGTCTGATTAATTTTCCAAGTTCTTCTCTACATTTTAATGAAAATTATGCATTTCTTTTGTCCCCAAATAGTTACAAATAGAAATATTAATTAATACTACTACAAAACTACTACTGCTAACACTGATAGTGATTGTTTTCCAATTTTTATCTTTTTTTAAATTTAATGCTTTAGGAATAATTGAGGTTTTTTCCCTGAGGAAAGTCAGTCTTATAAATGTTTTCAAAACCAAAGGAGAACTATTTCCAATACAATTCCATGAATGGATAAGATTGTTTAAACACAGTCTCACATGGACTGCAGGTTCCTTGTGGATGTGCTGAATATCCTTCTTAGGATAGTGATTTTTGTGAGAAGAGAGGGAGTAAGTTTTACTTGTATTTCTTCCACAAGATTTTAAGTATGGTATTTTCCTCCTGAACTGTATGAGGTCCTTGCTGCAAAATCACTTTTGGCTACAATAGGGAACATACTACTCAATTGGACTAAAAATATCCGCAGAGTTTGATTGGTAGGTTTAAATATCATTTTTTTCATAATTTAAATTTTACTTTTTCGCATTTTTTAAAAGAAAAATGGGAATGGGAACAATGAAATGCTCTGATTTTCATAAAGTAGTCCATAGGAGTTCATCCCAGCAGAATAATATGAAAATTACTTAGGACTTTACATGAGAACAGTTAATACCTTAGATATTTAATTTGGGAATCATAACTTTCTCATGTGTTTTTATGTATTTATATGTGAATACCTTGGGGGTGTATAGCAATAAAAAATAAGGAGGTGAGTGTACTGACAGGCAACCAAATTATCTGTGAAAAAACATTATTAGTTTGTTTATGAGTACAGAGGTAGCCATACCTTCTGCTCTCATACATGAGAACTTTCAAGCTATCTAAATGATGAAATTGTGAACTCTGCAAAGACAAAATAATACATATTTTGCATGAGCTTTTGATTAAGTTTTTTAGGGAGTCTGTTTCTCTTTGGAAATAATTATCAGATTCTTTAGTCTAAAGTGTGCCATTTTATACAGGTATGTGCAGAAAATGCGTGACAAATTCTAATCTAATTTCCTATTTGTTTTGTTTATTTTCAGTAATTCCATCAAGCTAGTGAATCTGTGCTCTATATTTATCAGCACGTGGCTGACAGCAGCTGGGTTCATACATTTGGTAAGTATATTTAAAGGACTTCATTGACTTTTTCTCATGCATCATCTGCTCTCTGAGCTACTTTATTTCCTGCAATCGCTTTGCTCTGTATAATCCCTTAACACATCGAAAAAGGACAATAAAAAAGCATCACAGCCTCTCAAATTTTAAGCTTCTCAACTTAACTACTCAAAACTAGTTTGTAGTAGTAAGATAGACATCATTAACCTCAGCAATAAGGCAGGAGACTTGGACTGGTGCAACTTGTAAAACAATGACAATTTACCAGGAGGTGGCAGTGCTTCCCAAAGAACTCCTGCGAGTACTTCCTTGGAGCAGTTGGCAGAGTTGGAACTAGACAGAGGTCCTGGGAAATCCATAGTTGTGTCAGAAGCACACAGTTCTGTATTTCCACGAGAAGTAATGGGATTGCTGACATTCTAGATAGCAATTTGTTTAGAGATTTTCCTTTTAATTTGTCTTTAAATTTCAAATTGTTTAAGTGTAGCTTGCAGTCACTGATAACACGGGGTTTTTTTGTAGTAGATTTCTATTCTGCACTTGATAATACCTGAAAATTGTAAGATAGTACAGAAGTTCATGAGTTCATAAATGTGAATATGCGTATGAACCATAGGTATATGTCAAGTGTGTGTTTTAAACTAATAGCTTTTACTGATTTGTTTGGTAAATAAAATATTATTAGGTGGTTGTCCTTTAAGTACATTTCATGATCAATTTAGAATCAGGAAAATTTTTAGCTCCTAGTAGTAATAAGTTATTCAGGAATGTTTTGGACTAGTAATAAAATTTAATGATATTGATGTCACTCTGGAGCAATTTCATTGTCTTCGCTTGAATTAACTTGGGGTGCATCCAGCTGTTTAAGATTAAATTCAAAATATTTATTTTCTTGATATATCTGTCATTTAATTTTCACATTTATAAAGATGCACCAAGATTTTGGGTGTTTTCATTTATGATATATTTCTCTTTCACATAGGACTATATTTTTACACTCCTCTGAGCAAATATAGCATTTCTATCATAGAAACAAAAGTTTTTTCTAGTTTTGAACACAAAACCAAAAAACTCACCACCCTTTTAAAAATTACAACAAGACTGAGGGAATGCTATTTTCTAGGATTTGGATTTTTTTTTCTGCTTTACTTTTCAGCGTAACTTTCTCTATTCTACTGTAGGAATACTCAAACTTCAGCTTGTTACTGCAGAACAAATTTTAGAGGGCATGCTCTTTTCCCACTGATAAATTTATAGTTTTGTCACAAGAGCAGCTGGCTTTTTGAAAAAGTAATAGTATATCACTAAACATGTCAGTAATGCCTAATAGCTACATAGTCCTTTAAAACAAAAAACATTAAGGAGTATAATTGCATTACACATAAGTTTCACTCTGAAAAAGTTCAAAAGAAATTTATAAAATGATCTCACGTAACCGCATTAGTAAGTTATGTAGTGGTGAATGGAAAAGATACTTTCCATAAATAGTATGGGTGGAAAGGCTATGTATATTGGCAAAAGAATTGTAGTGCTATAGTTTGGACAGGGCCAGGTTCTGTATTTGTTCAAAATAAATCACAGAAAGGGATTCAGAGTTTATATTATGTGTCATATTATATATATATATGCAGACGTGCACATGCATATATGGTTAGATTTAATTTGGGGTACAACTCTATTAATTCATTATATGTTTTCTTTTACATTTAGGTGGAGAACTCAGGGGATCCATGGGAAAACTTCCAAAATAATCAACCGCTAACGTATTGGGAATGTGTTTATTTGCTGATGGTTACCATGTCCACTGTTGGCTATGGAGATGTTTATGCAAAAACAACCCTTGGTCGCCTTTTCATGGTCTTCTTCATCCTTGGGGGATTGGTAAAAACTCTTTATTTTTAATTCTTCCTATTATTCTAGCTACCTTAATACTTGATCTGGTATTCCTCATTGTAATTAAGTAAAACTAAAATTAATTATAAAGCATTCAAATAAGTTTAATATGCCCTTTTTTCATGTAGATAAATACTTTGGCAGAGCTTATCAAATTAGTCCAGTTTAGTCAGAATTTATCTAATTCCTTTTAATGAGTAATGCACGTGAATACATAAAGTGCCTTAATATTTCAACGTCTAGTGTTATTTGTAGTCCTCAATGTTTTAGTGACTGACTGTAATGCGTTTTTTTGGAGGCTGATATTGATATTTAAAGGCACTTTGCGGTTTCAGATGTCCTACCCACCCTTCTGTGTTCCTTCCCAGAATTCCAACAAACACTGTGGCTTTGGACTTCCTTAAAGAGCAGATTGCCTGATCTAGATGATGGCAAACCACATTCTCTTTAATTTCAAACATCTTTTCATGTCATGTAGTGCAATTTTAACTCACAATCTGTCACATGATAATAATCAGGATCCTTTTATAGGATCCTTGTGCTCTTCGTTCTGTATGTAAATAGCATCCAAGTTACTGATTGTCTTATGTCGACTTTTCTATTATTTGTCAGTAATTTGTTAGTAATATTATACGACCTGTAACAATATTGTTCTCTAAAACAGCAAAGTTTATATTAATATTTACACATTTCAAGGTAAGTGCTTTACGGATGACTATAATTTAGATTGTGCACATACATACATATGTATATTGTTACCTTACCCTCATATATTGATTTCACATATACATATCTTACAGAGGTGATATGTATATAACTAGTGTTACGAATGCCATATATGAGACACACAGATACATATATATGAGCATTAAATATATGCATTCCCATCTCTGATCATTGACATACGAAGACAAAGATCATGTCAAATGGCAGCAGCTCTTCGAAGTATCCAACCACAAGGAAGATGTTTGTTGGACAAAACATGGCAGAATATTTTTTATTTTCTCCTCAAACCCTTTTTTCTATCACATGTTATTCCAATCCTTCTAAACCCAACAACTTTTGGAAAAGTTTTTTTTTTTGGGGGGGCAGGGGTGATTTTTTTGTTTCTTGATGGGGAAATAGCCCCTGCTTCCATCTGTTTTTTGTCTTCTTTTAAATTCTAATACTGGGGGGAAAAGTCTGTATTTTAAAACAGAAATGTAACAGTAATGATAATACTTGGTTTTGGATTTTTTTTGTGGTGGGGCTTGGATGGGTTTTTCCCCCTCCCTTCTTCAGGAAGAAATAGACATAACTGCTTTTTGTGATTTAGATATCAGTTTGAATTAATTTTGTTCTTGTTTTGTTTTGTGTGTCTATTTTTCCTCTTTTGACCATTTTCTTTATTTATAAGGTATGCACCTTCTCCAAGATCAACTTTTACACTGAGCCCTCTTGTTTTGTTTGATGAGAACTTTTACATTTTTTTAAAATTTTCTTTTTAAACAACTGCATAGATCTAATTCTTTTGCATTTTCAGATCTAAAAAATATATATCTTCTGAAAATATTCATCATCCCCCTTTCTTTGGCCTCTCTTTTTAGTCTTTTCTTCTGTCTCCTATCTTCTTCTTAGGCCATGTTTGCCAGCTACGTCCCTGAAATCATAGAGTTAATAGGAAACCGCAAGAAATATGGTGGTTCCTATAGTGCGGTTAGTGGAAGAAAGTAAGTATCCCAAGAGGCTCTGCTGCCTCTGCTGCAGTAGAACACTCTCTGCATGCCATTTTCTTTTTTTTTTTGTGTTTTTGTTTCATGCATGTAGGCAATGTTTGCTCGCTACGTGCCAGAAATTGCTGCTCTCATCCTTAATCGGAAGAAATACGGCGGAACTTTTAACTCAACTCGAGGCAGAAAGTAAGTCAAAAAAGACCAGGTGTGGTTGTGTGACTTTAAAGAGCCCCTGAAGGTGGTAATAGCTGATTCACAGCTTATAAGGCTGTATTCTTTGACATCAGATGTTACCACTGGAGAGTTGTCACACTATAATTAGAGACCTGGGCTATGCTATGGTACAAGTCACAACATTCTGTCCCTACTTCCAGAGAACCTGGATACCACTAAGACTGCACTAACATACCTTGTTAAAAGTGCTGCTATTACAATCACAGCTTCTGGAACAAGGTTGAGTTGTCACTTAACTATTTTGGGCACCAGATAATCGTGTGGTTTATCTCTTAACTAAGTGACAATGATAATTCACATGATTTTCAGACAACTCAGTTCTTTAGAAGACTTGGTTTTGCTGGAGTGTAAAATAGGAGATTTAAGCTGAACGGTTTATTCTGTTGGAGTATGTAAGAAGTCTAATAGCTCCATTTCTCATTGTTCCATCAGCAGATTCTCATGCATCTTCTTTTTACTTCCTATGGATATTACAACACTCATGATTTTAGGATCTATGACCAGGGATTTTAAAGCAATTCTCTTCCACAAACTGTAAAAAACTTACCCTAAGAAGAGCAGACAGTAGCCGTAATATCAACATAGTATGGTAAAGAAACAAACCCATAAACCCCACTGTTTTTACCTGGTGGCAAAGGTTAAATTTTATTGGACCACATCAGCTCATTGCATTTCTATTAAAGGCCTCTTTGTTTTCATGACCAAGTAAAACCAGCTGTTTCTGGCATTGCCAGCATCTAGACCTACTGGGATATAGCTGTTACTGAACTAGATGTACTTGGTGATATAGTGTGATCTAGCACAATATCACGTTTAATGTTGCCATCTTTCATTTCATTGCTTATCATTGTGGCATTCAGTGGTAGAGGTATGTTTGTCCTGAAAGACTACTCATACAGAGGGCCCTTTATTTGAAGGCCCTTTGCAGTACCTTCAAATAAAGAAGGTACTGCAAGAAATGCATCTAATTAACTTTCTCTATCCTTACTTTAAGAAAATTTTTTACTTTATGAGTTTCAAATCATCACCCTGCAACATTTTATTAATGCGGATTATGGTTTAATCAAGTTGTTCTCTCTGCGTAGCAGAGACTGTAAATGTCCCACAGAGATAATTCTAGAGTACTGTTTTACATCACTGGGGAGATAAAGCTTTAGAATTAGAATACTATTGTCTGTTCAATAATATTCAAGCAATTAGACAGTAAACTTCAATATTTTTGAGATACCCTCAAATGTCTAGGGTAAACTGTAAACACCAGTGTTGGAAGTTTCCATCACTTACCTAGACTAAAAAAAATGTCTTTATTTCTGAGAAAGAATAGTATCATGAATTTCCAAAATTTTTTTTTGGGACATAGTTTCATATTTTTATTATTACCTAGTTTCTCAAAGAGTAGGTTTTTCAAATACAGAACATACACCTCTGTTTTTGAAGCTTCAAAGGAGTTATAGCAGAGGGGTATATGGTTAAAAACTGTTATACATACAGTTTTAGTCTCTCCCCTTGTACATTGTCACTAGTACCCAGCATTGCTCAGTTGTCTCTAAATTTTGACCTGATCTTCAGTCAGAACCCCACATCCTGAAAAACTCAGCATCAGATTACAGGCTTCTGCTAGCTTTGGGGCGTGCTTAATTTTATTTTTTCACCTTTTGTTTTTGTCTTTCTTTATTTGCACTGTCTGTTTGTTTTTATCTCACTCTGTTGTCAGTGCTTTCTCTGCTGATCTGTACTGCTCATATAATTTGTTGTTTGAAACTCAGCTCTGTCATCAGCATACGAACTGTTCAATTTACTTTATGCATTATTTTCCAGTTAAATTATTAATTACGAAGTAGCTTAAAGATGTCCTTTGCTCATGTGGGTCTTTCATCAGAGAATCTAAGCTTGGGAACTGCACAGTAAAAAGCCATTAGCACTCCTTGTTTGATGTTGCTTTTGCAGTCAATAGAACAAGATTGATGAAATGTTATGTTTGGCCAAAATTTAAGTTTTCATTTGGAATTCAGTGTTGAGAGAATGGATTGTCAGAACCAATAAGTTTTCCTTTGCATGGGATACGGGCATGTGGTAGTAATTAGCATTATAAGGATTTTAGTTGAGCAACCAAGGATAGATTCTGGCAGTAAACATAATGAGAAACTACAGTTCTTCTATTTCTATCATCAGAAAGTTTCCAGATAAAATTAAATACATTTACAATATGAAATCAGCTGAATTTTTTTTAAAATATAGTTTCAGCCCTTAAAATAGCAAATATGTATACTTTTTAACTTTCTAAAAAATGGAAAAATACAGGAAATCTGCTTTGTAGCATTTACATATTTTTTTGTACGTGTTGCCTTGTAAAATCTCTGTGTGTGGAATAACATGTTTCTATATGGTTATTAAACATTTAGGTCGTAACTTAAAATCAACATATTATTATATGTGTTTTGAGGATTGCACTGCGTGACTTTAACACTGAGGAGAGCCTTGCCGTGAAATTGTAACTGTCAAAGCAGATAGAATGTGTGCATAAGGATTCTTGATACAAACGCCACTTACTGAAGAAGAGAAATTACCAACACACCAATGAGTTTGATCTCACATTTCATTTTGCTTTTCAGCCAATAAAGTCCCCAAAGGTCTCATAAACAATATAGGATGCATTTGGAACAATAAAAAATTTTACTTCTCTCTTAGATGAGACACATACATACAGACTTGGGAAACAGAAGTAGTTTGTGGGCAGTATGCAGTTATCACTGGTTAAATTTACTATATACTGGTTAGTTATGTTATGAAAGTCCACAGAGAATTTTTTAAATTTTAAATTATAATTTCTGCTTTGTAGTATTACTGCAGTGAGATTTCTGGAGTCTCATAAAATACACAACAGGAATTTTTTGTAGTCTTTGATTGACGTTTCACCTGTTAAATAAACAGCAGTACTCACTGTTGCACATATACTAAAATTTCTTACCAATATATCTATACAAAATTTGACTCAGACTAAACATACACCTTTGAGGTCTAGTAGGTAATGAGTTAGGCACAATTACAATCTAGAACAAAAAAAAATTACCAGAGAAAATATAACAATCCTTGTCTTGAATTTCAAATTTATAAGCAACGAGAGTTGCTCTGTAAGCAATGATATTACTGCTAAACAGCTGGGGTTTTACTGTTTTTCTTCTTCAGGTCATCAGAAGCCTCTGTAATGTTTTTACTGTGTGCCCTGATATACCAGAATCATATGATCAGTAGACAAGCAAAACTGGCCTTTTCAGTTTAGTTATACACAGAACAGACAAACAATTGCTTCTAAATACAAATAATACAGAGAAAACCAGACTGTAGTTATAAGACAGGAAACAGTTGATAATAAATGTACATGTATGAAAAACTAAGTCACAAGTGGGAAACAAAATTCAGATGTAAGAAGCAATCAGACTTGTAAAAAATATTATTTTGTAGTACAGCTAAGAGGTATCTTAGGATAACGGTGATGTGTCTTCCGGTATTTTCCACTTTGAGTCCTATGTAGCTTTTCTGTTCTCTCTGACAAGAAATTCAGTCTGCTGTTTCTCCTTCCTGTTCTTTTCCCTGGATGAATTCTGTGGTTCATGATTTTACATTTTGAGAAACACTTTTTATAAAGTAGGTATTGCACATAATATTCTTTGTAATGATGTTTCCTCTTAGCCATTTTTTTTTTTAATTTTTAACCCAGCGAGTGCTTCCTTACACCCTATCTATACTTAGCTCTTTTCTTTTTAAAACATTTGATTTGACTTTGTTTAGGCTTTTTCTGTAAACTATCTGAGGAATTAATGAGTTAGGCTTCAAGGGATCATTTTAAAGTGAAGTACCATAAAAGGATGGAAAGGTATCTGCCACCATCAGCATAGCTAAAAGACTATTGGGTTTAAAATGTAGCAATAAGCCTGCAGGTTTGTTCATGGATTCATATCTCTGGAAGACTGGAAGGGGCAGTGATCGTTTTGTCTTTGGATGATTTCCTGAAGTGCTCCAACTAAGCTCTTAGTTATAAAGCTCAGGCTATAATTCTTATGAGACGGGGCTTTTCTTCATATATATATTCTTCATATATATATTCTTTTATAATATTCACAGTAGTGAGGTACAGTATGAAATTCAGTTAAAGATCCAGATTTGTTTTACCTCTACTGGTTTATAATTAAATTTTTATTCTGCATTTACTAGTTTACCTGAGAATCAAGACTGTTCTTGTTTCATTTCTGTATTCATGTGTTCACATGATCAGATTGGATTTTAATTCTGTGAAGTATTTTCTAGTTAAGGAACTAGCTTGTAGATCAGCCTGCACAAAGCTCTGGAAAGCATATGGAAAGAGTATTTGTAAACTGATGAACTCAGAGAGACTGGATAACCTGCTGTTTTTTACATTAAATTAATGACTTTTAATTCCATGGACTAAATTATTTTTGCTTTTTATGAAGGCAGAAAGTAGAACGTGGCTTCCCATATTGGCAGAGAGAGGGATGACCTGCTTGAGCAGGGAGGTTGGACCAGATGACTGGCTGTGGTCCCTTCCAGCATTAACCATTCTGTGATTCTGTCCACGTATATATAAACGTCTTGCTTTGGCGCAATAATAAATGTTTATACTAGAATTTGTTACATATTCAAAAAACTAAAAAAATTAAAAACCAAAAAAAAAAAAAAAATCCAGGTACATTATTGTAGTTAGTATGTAGGATTAAAAACTGTATTTTAATGAAATCACAGTACTT